CAACCCAGCAACCACACACACCGGCCGGCAGATGCAGACGCTGAATTGGGTATCTGTCCTAATCAGCGACATAGCTACGTACATGTTTGAGCTGCATACGTGCATGACTGTTAGGACGGGTCTAATTAAAACGGAACGGGATCACGTGATTGGTCAGTGGAGTGACGATCGATCGAGACAGTGCATGCCCGTTATATTAGTTGACGCATGCGCACACGGCATCTCAACGAGTACAGTGCTAATCCCTCTTTAATCAGTTAAGTAATGAGGCAGGGTACGTGCTCGTCGTCGACGGTTCGTCAACGTCTGGGATTACAGCAATTAGGCGGCTACAGCATGAGCTGGGGCTGGGAGTGCTGAGTACAGTGGGATCCTTTATACGCTCAGGCATTGCCGCGTCCGACCTGTGCAAGTGCAAGTCCGAAGGTTAAGGACACGCATGCATACAACCGAACCTGTCTGAATTCTTATCTTTCGGAGTAAGACTGATTTCTTTGGCCTTTTCTTTCGGAGTGAAAAACTTCTGGTCTATTTATCATCTCTCAAGTCAGTTCAAAAAACACTAGAAGTAAAAATTACATCCAGGTTCATTGACCACCTAGAGACTATTACAAGCACTGGAGCGAGCCGATGGCCTGTCGCCGTCATCACCCCTCTCTCACTAGAGCCGGACAAACCTTATTGTAGTAGACAGTCGAAAAGTTGTCGTCCTAAGGCCCAATAGGGCCGGTGCACCAGAACAGCAACAGTCGACGATGAAGAGAAGCATATATCGAAAGGATCCAACCTAAAAACACGAGCACAGCCGAACGAACACCGGATTCACCAAAGACAAACGCCGACCGAATCCCGCGAGAACTGTCGGAGACACAACACCACACGCCCTTCGGTGACGCTAGACGCACCACCATAAAGCAGGCTAGGGGAGAACTTTATTCCAACTTTAGGCAGCCACCGCCGTCTCGTCTTCTTGAGCAAGACACAAACCCTAAATGAACACAAAAGAACACCAAAAGGTCCATCACGTCTCCATGACCCTAAAGACCATGAAAGACGAAACCTATCTGCGGCGACACAAACGGGAGGCACAAATTCCTCAAAACACCTCGCACTAGAGAGGCATGAAGTGGAGGTCGAGACGTACATGACTTGTACTAAGTCCTTTTATAGATTTTAGTATGAACTACATACGGATGTATATAGACGTATTTAAGAGTTCAGATTTATTCATTTTGCTCCGTATGTAGTTCATATTGGACCGTTTCTTTCATCTTGTTGTAGTATGATCATGGTGAACAGCCAAGTTTGATAATGATGCAACGCTAAAAGGAAGGATCGATCGATACATATCAATCATACATGTTTCTGATGGTCGTTATAGACCACATCCTAACCGCAAGCAGTACCAAAATTTATCTGTCTGATGAAGCAGTCGCTCGATGCCGATGGGTTGGCAACGCAGCAGAGACCCACGGTGACGGAGACAGGGTTGAATTAGGTCACCAATTTGGCTGGAGTATATACTGTATACCACATCACTCGATACAAATTGTGATGATGCAAACACAGCGACGCATGGCATTGCGAAAGCCCGAGCCACCCGAACCAACCAGCAACGATCCTTCCGTCCAAGTCAACAGCTGGTGCAGCTCAAGTATGAAACAGTATTTCAAAACGGATCTGAAGCGGACGGGAAAGGGGGTTCGCATTCACGTGATTCGCGGTAGCGGGAAACCCGTTCGTTGCACACAAGTTTTCACTATCTTCTTACCGTCAAACGAATCGTAGAAGGTTCGTCCCGGATTCGGGTTAATTAGGATGCGTTTGGTTATCTGTATCATTTTTTGCCTCTTTGCATATTTGTTTTAATTAGGTCTGGCTGAGCATGTGTAGGCAAAAAACTAACATCCTCATGTTGATTGGTTACATGCATCCCTTCTAGTCTGCATCTACCGAAACGAAAGGCATGCTGTTTAGTTGCGGACTTGTTTCAGAAAAAAAAAAAAAGTCCGGTTGTTTGATTACATTCAGAACAGTTGTGTGGTAATCTTTTCCTCGATGTGGTGAGGTTACTAGAGGCACAAATGGACTACTAAGAACTAGACTAGCGCAACAGAACAAATTTAGACACCAAAACACAAGTCTTAATCGCACATCACAAGTTTTAAACCAACATAGTACAATAAGTTTTAAATGAAACACAAGTCTTAAACCAACAACCAACAAGGAAGGGGCAACAAGAGCTCACGCGGTCACAACGAAGGCGTTGTCGTGCTCCTTGCACTTGGTGACCACCTCCACGGCCTCGTCGTTGAATACAATCACCTTCATGGTGCCGGGTAAGGATGGCAATGGGTAGGATATGGGCAGGGTAGAGCAATATCATACTCATACCCGTATAGTTAATGGATATAAAATTTTACCCATACCCGTACCCATGGGTATGAAACCTTACATGTACCCATACCCGACGAATACCCGTACTCATTTGGTACCCGGCGGGTAGAACAAACAATACATGAGTTGTTCACATTTTACACTCATTGATAGCACATTTAATGAAAAAAATCAATTCTCTCAGCTCAATAACAGATACATGAGTACAACATACTCACAAGTCAATGGTAGTAGACAAGTCACGTGACAAGTGAATGATTAATTCATGACGACTTAACATTAGTTCACAAGCGGGCAGGGTATGGGTATACCTGCGGGTACAAGGCTATACCCATACCCTACCCATGACTTAACGGATAGGATATGGGTACTATCCATGGGTATAAAAATGTGCCCATACCCTGCCCATGTGGGTACGGTACCCGCGGGTACGGTACCCGCGGGTACGGTACCCGCGGGTACCCATATACGTGGGTAAAATTGCCATCCTTGGTGCCGGGGATCAGCAACTTGAGCGTCAGCATGTACCCGATCATTATCTGGTGAACGGCAGCGAAGGTGGCCCAACCCTGATCAAGGGTGATCCTGTCGTTGACCATCCTCACCGTCATCCTCCATGTGCAGCCGGTGTTCGTCTTGAGTCTGAACTCTGCAGGGATGGCGGGGAAGTGCTTCGTGAACTACAGAGGCATTGGCAAACTGTCTAGATTCGGAGCAAGGATAACCTTGCAGAAGTGGCTTGGTCCCGACTCCTCATAGTAGTGGTCATATAGTTCCTCCACTTGGCGCTTGGGTGATCCTGCACCGGCACTTCGACCAATGGCGGCGGCACGACCTTCTTACCCTTGTCCATCTGCATTATGAACGGCACACAGTTTAATGATCAACATTCATTCATATCGCCTTAACGCTCCTATATTAACCCACCCTATTAACCCGGCACCGCACTCAAACCCTCTCTGTTTCACCACAACTTTGTTTCACCATCTCTCCCTCGTTGTGAACTCCAACTCAAACCCCAACCCTTTTCCCTGGGGCATTGGATGGAGGACCTTCTTTCTTGGCCGCTCGCTTGATGACACAGCGACACATGGCATTGCCTATGTCCAAGTCAGACGAACAAGCCACGGTCCTTCTGTCCGGGTCAACAGTTGTAGTATAGTACAGTACAAAACATCTCAACAAAGGACAAAACCATGTCGTTGCGATAGTACTCCAAGTCGGATCTGAAGCGTGCGGGGATTCACATTCACGTGACTGCGGCAGCGGGAAACCCGTCCGTTGCACACAAGTTTTCACCATCTTGTTACCGTCAACGAATCATGGAAGGTTCGTCCCGGATTCGGGTTACTTAAGGTAACCTGTCCGGTTTAACATGAACCGCACCAGCTTACCGTACCATCAGTCCAGTACTATACTTGCACTTGGTGAGTGTGAGCTGGTTGATGTTCAGAAAGAGCCATTAACCAGTGAACTGTTAACATATTTATTTTGTTGGGTCTCATCGGTGTCTCCTCATGGATGGGGCAACCTACGGCCGAATAGCCAAAAATGCACTTACTGCTAGCCCTCACTCCTCAGCATATGCCACTGTGGTCATGTGCGATCACAGTGCCATTGCACTATACATAGTGAACATTTTGGTTCTACTCAAACATAAATATTTGCAGTCTTGTATTGCAAATTTGCAACCATGTGCATTCACTCCTCACGATCTCACACTACTCAGGGCTCAGCATGAATTGCGGTCATGTGCATTCACAGGACCATCGCACTTGACACAGTACCCATTTTTCTTCTTCTTCTTCTTCTTCATCTAAACATGATTTTTCATTTATTTATTTTTTGCTTCCTTGTGCGCTTGAGAGAGCCTACAAATGGCAGCAACTGCGAGGATGCCGAGAACAATTCCCGTGTGTGCAGGGAAAATGACTGGGGACTGCAGTCTGCAGAAAACATCCCGCAAAAGTACAGAATACTTCTGCGTGCGTTTTTTCCTTTTCGTTTTTGTTAAACAAGGCGTTTTTTTCCTTTTCTGCTCACACAGTTGTTGGACAGCGCCAAAAATATAATTCAGTTAGAGAGGAAAAGCACAATTTTGGCATGCAGGCTGAAAGGGTTGTTTAATCTTTTATTCGGCTGATAGACATTCTTTATTCCACGAATTCTGGACATGTCAGTTTCCAACACTGCTGAGCATTCATTTCCCAACTAACACAAGCAGGAAGAGATCAACTTTCCAGGATAACACTCAAACATGGATTAACAAAAGAAAACCTAAAATGCACTTGCTCCAGAGAAGAAAACATGGATTAACACTCAAACACTTTTTCGGCAGAAAAGAAAACTTAAAATGCACTTGCTCCAGAGAAGAAAGATGGTCAGATTGGCACTACAGCAAGGTCTTCGGTCTGCAAGGAGATGATGAGAGTTCTGATCTGAAGTTCTGAACATGCATAGCCATGCTCATTGATTATTTCTCATATACACTGCTAGTAGCATTACAGAAGCTCAATCAAAGCCAACACACGACTTGGGTAAACTCCACTCGACATCAAGTAACAACGCACGTCCTTGCACACCGCGAGTTCAGTGTAGTTCGGTTAGACCCTCTGCGCCTGATGCGCCGCGGCACCACCGACGGACGCCAGCGCGCTCCTCACCGTCACGGCGACGCGGCAGCCCTTGAGCGCCCTGAAGCTCTCGTGCCGCACCCTGAAGCACGTCGCCATGGCCGTCTCCTCCTCGTCCGAGAACGACGACGACGACGAGTGCAGCCTGCTGCTGCTGCTGCCGCCGGCCCGCATCGGCGACTGCGTGGTACGGCGGAACGAAGATGCCGAGTAGGAGGATGACGATGACGAGGTCGACGCGGAGGAGAAGGACGAGGTGGGCGAGCCCGACGGCGTCGTCCGGCCCCGCCTCCGCGTCGCCATGAGGATGGAGCCCAGGATGCGGGACGGCCTGAACCTGTTGCTCCCGGCGGCGGCCTTGCGCGCCGCGTGCTTCTTGGCGGCCCCGGCGCCGGCGGCGTAGTAGGACGGCGGAGGCGTGAGCGGCGGCATCGTCGTGTCGGAGACGGCGTTCTTGGGCGTGCCCGGCTGCGACTCCCACAGGAACGGCACCGCGCCGGCGGAGGCCACGCCGTAGTAGACCCTGAAGGACGGCGCGGCGGCAGAGCTGTCCCTCGTCAGCAGCCTGGACAAGAGCTTGCCCCCCTGCCTCGGGTTCGGGTGGACCACCGCCTCCTCCCTGTCCTTGCCGTTGCCGACGGTGGCCGCCATGGATGGATGGATCGACGTGTCTCTGCTCTGTACAGCGAAACAGAGGGATCGTGTCCTTGCAAGTTGCAGAGGAGAAGGAGGAAGTGATCACTGAGGTGCGCAGCGAGTGTGGGGTTTTATGCTCGTCGGCAGCAGAGAGAGAGGGTGGATTCTCGTGGATTAATAATGAGAAGTGTGTTGGCTGGCCGTTTGCACGTCTCCCGCTGCCGTTAGTATCTCATCTGATTACTTTTGTTACTGCTCGGCTGTCCAAGATTCCGCGATGCAGAGACGACCTTTGACCTCACACTGTTTGGATCCATGAGCTAAGCAGGATTCATTTATATTCTACCCGTTGCCAAAACTTACGACGTTGTATCAAAAAGGGTCAGTTATTATTAATAACCAATAAAATAGCCAAAAAAGGGATTTCCCGCTTTAGATTATTAAGCAACATTCGCCGACCACAAGATAACTGCTGGGGCAAACGACACATCAAGCCCAAAAGAAAAGGAAAGAATTGAAAAATGCCAACAATGGCGGCTCGAGAAAGCACAAATGATCCGCCACCACTGCACCCTCCGGATTCATCCCACCGCGCGCACTGTGGCTTCGAACCTCTAAGTACCAAGCAACACCTCCAAGAAGGGATGCGACGTTGACGACGCTGCTGGCTAGACATATCCTAGGGTTTCCCTCGGCACGCGGAAGGCAGTGGGGATGGGTAACACCGACGCCCTTCAGGAAGGAAAGGCGGCACCCCCGGGCGACATCGCGTTAGAGCCGGATGAACCGGCAGGGATTTCTCCTGCATCCCAAACACCACTACCCGCCAATCCGGAGCCAACCATGCAACTTGCCACCCGCTAGCATACGCCACCACGGTCTTGAAGTCATCCATGCCGCCTCACTAAGATCGCCACCACGAGGCCTAGAAGACGGAGAGAGGGATGCCAGGAAACGGGAGGGGCAGCATCGGAGCCGAGCCGGAGGGAACCACCTCCCCTGCCATCGTGCGGGATGCATGTGCCTCCCGCACCGTCGCGGTAGCCAGCTGGATGCCGTAGTAGGGGCACACCAGGCCACCCGGGCCCGCAAAGCCGCTGCCACCCCGCTGCAGCCAGCTGGCAACGACGCCGCCGCCACCCGGCCCGGCCGGGCCCATCTCGGGCCCGCAAAGCCGCTGCCACCCCGCTGCAGCCAACCGACAACGCCGCCGCCACCACCCAGCTTCCCTACGCCCCATCTCCGCCTCCAAGGAGCTCCGCCGTTGAAGAAGAAGCCACCGGCCCGCCCAAACCAACCAATAAAATACACACTACATTTATTTTTTTGCGTAGAAAATACACACTACATTTTGTAAAGGAGAAGTACGAGAACTTAATATTCTGATTAACCCTGAGCCTATTTATGGAGAAAATGGAACATATGACCCACGAAAACCTGGAGTCTTGCATGAGACGGTCGAGTACTCCATCCATTTCCTTGCAAAAAAAAAAGAGTACTCCATCCTTTTTTTTACTCCGCGTATTAGATTTATCTGAGGTCAAACTTTGTGAAGTTAACATCAACATCCACAACACTTAGCAAATATGATATCAAGATATATTCCATGGTGGATCTAATGATATTGATTTTTTATTGCAAATTTAACTTTTTTTGTATAAACTTAAAATTATCAAATAAAGACCTAAGAAAACTCGTGCATTATGACCAAAAATCCCACGACATTGTATTTTAAGTAGCTAAGACGAACTCTGACCAACAATTATACCATAGTAATATTGTATTATGGTGTAAAATCAATGTCACGACATGCATATTTAAACTTTGATTGTGACTATGGCTCACGGTTTTTCAGGTGAGGTGCTTTTGTCGGCATGAAATTTCCGTCATGTCTGCTCGAGTGTGGAGGAGGCTGAAATTCATGCGTGCTTGGCGAACTATATGTTGAGGTGCCTATGCAGAGACATGTTATCTTGGCTACTGATTCTCGATATATATCAATTATGTGGAGGAAGCGGCTTATTTTTTAAGCTGTCAAAAGAACTGACCCTCTGTCTGATAATGTGTTAGATGTTAAGTCCGGAGTTGTTCACCGCAGAAGATGCTTGAAGTTGTGAAACCGCTTAGTTGGTGGAGTTCAATCCTGCTCGGCGGTGGGATACTGTTGAGAATGACTGCATTCACCTTATCACTTGATTATCAAAGCACGGGCTTTCAGAAATGAAACTCCGTAAGCCGGTAGTTCCATTAACAACGAGAGACGTTAGTGACGGTAGAAATGCATGCTCTAGTCAATGCAATCAAAAGACCGATCTTTGGAAGAGGGCTGTTCATTATACTCTAACAGCGATGAACGACTGGATGGTATCGTCAATCTTCACTATGTTGTGCGCGTGAATGTGATGATGATGCGAGTTTGTATATACATCTACCATCGGTACTCGTCTAAACAATTTTTCATTTCGAACAAATGGCAGAGACCTCACCGCTTGAGGAGCCTACGTGGAGCGTGAGAAAACCCATCCCATGCATGCATGTACTGATGTCACCCATCCATCGGCCATAATAGGTGCTCCGTATTTTGGCCCACGGGAGCTGGATTTTGGTCCATCATTGGTAGTACTGGTGCGTACTCGATCGCTTGCTCCAACTAAATTCGCTGATGGATAGGCCTAGCCAACGACGTACGTAGATCTCTGTTTTGGATTCTCCCAGCTGCTATGAAAAGCATGGCGATTAAATACGTAGTACCATACCAATACCGTCGCGCTCTATCGCCGGCCTCGTTGTAGCACGAGCGCGCGACACTACTCGCTTTCTACATGGCTCCAAACTAATCAATATACAGCACTGGTTTTTGTCATCTCCTGTCATCTTAGTGGCTGCGTGATTAATTATGATAAGAGATGATAATACTAGCCTGAGCATTATGCATGAAATCTGCTGCTGAAAAATGGCTTTGAAGACATAAAAACAAGCTAATGGAAAACAGGTAAAATCATGTTTATGCGGCAATAATTATGTGATAACTATCGATCGTGGTACCGGGTACACCAGGTTATCGATCAGTAAACTAATAGAATCACATATTCAGTAATAGGAAGTATTTTACAAAGATCAATCATAGTTTTTTTTTTACGAAAAGGGGGGACTCCTCCGCCTCTGCATCAGAACGATGCATAGAGTAATAAGGTTCAACAAGGTCTTAAAGTCTGCAAACAAAAGCAACGGCTAGCTCACACAGAGCCTCAACGCCAAAACAAAAAGCCCAATAAGCCACAACCGCCAGGCAAAATAAAAGATAGGTAAACTAATTGCCTATCCTATTACATGACCGCCATCCAAACCGGTTGAAGATATCCTGCGCTACCATCTCCCACCGTACAGATTCAGTAACCAAACGCTCTCTGGCCTCCGTCAGAGTGAGTAAGGACCACATACGGATCAGTGCAGTAGCCCGGAATAAAATCTGCAAAAAATGAATAGTTGTTTTTCTGTTAAAAGCCAAATCATTTCTGCAATTTCAAATTGCCCATAACAACGCACATACTCCTACACGAATGTGTCTAGCTGTTTCGGACTCTATCCCAGCAAGCCACGTCCCGAATAACGTGTTGACCGAAGTCGGAGGAGTAATGTTAAAGGCAATTTGCACAGAGCGCCACAACCCTCATGCCAAAGGACAGTAAAAAAAGAGATGCTTGATAGTCTCGTCCCGATCACAGAAACTACACCTAGTAGAATCTGTCCAGTTGCGCTTAACTAAATTGTCCTTTGTTAAAAGAAAAAGATCAATCATAGTTGAGTCCATCTTATTTTGTTCATTCTTTTTGAGATCACAACATAGCTTTTTTAAAAGAAAAAGATCACAACATAGTTGAGTCATGAGTTCATTATATTTCCCTTTTGATTTATTTTCTCAGGGGAACATACATCATTTGCACAACAACAAAAGACACATTTCAAAGGGCTACGCAGCTTACCTGCTGCACATACACTGCAGGGTCCTGCAGATCGACGCATGAAGTTGCTTTCGACCTCCTTTATCTGGGGGGAGCTAATCTAATGATCGCCATTAAAAAGCCTAATGGTCTTGTTAACTTGTTAATGGAAGTGGGGTTGGATTCGTACACTGCTTACACAGGGATCGTCTTCGTGCATGGAGCATCAATGCAGTACTGTGGTCGATGAACTGTCATCGGATGGTCTTTAAAGAAGGCCATCTTTTGTTTATGTTTGGATTAGCGGAGCGTAGCTGGACTTTTCACCTAACGGCACGCTGGGCTTTCAATGCCTGCAGGGTCAGGGCACGACACTGCCCACTTAAGAATGCTTGTAGGAACAACTAATTTAATCAATTGGGTCAAAATAGAGCAGGATCTAGCCCAGTTGCTCGCACGCAAGGTCGACAGGGAAATTGAAGAGGGATCCCAGTTTGTAGTCAGTGCAGCTGCTGTCCGAGGATTCAGTACGGGCTAGATCTGAAGAAACTTTTGCATGACAGCTCTTGGGGTGACTGTATCATAACGTTGGAGCTATCAAGTTGTAAGATAGAATGCTCTTCAGGTGTGACTAAAATTTGATTGAAAATCTAGGAATGGGGTTCAAACCTCATTTTCTGGAGCACTAGGCTCCATGTTGTTTCTCTTAAATCATTTTATGTACCCGTGGAGGTGGCATTTCATTCATGCGCTCTTCCAATTCCGGCATTTCTTTTAGTCCTTACAAATCAAAATTAAGGCAAGGTGCCCTGAAGGCTGGGCAGCTTTTATCTGTCGTGGAATAAAAATCTTGGATTTCATTTAGATCTAAATTGATGTCAATCTTGATCTAACATCCAACGAGTATAATTAACCATCTTTCTGGCAAATGTGGATCGATGCGTGTTATTTAAGCACCAAGTACAAATTAGGACACATGCATCCTTACAGATAAGACCCGAAGGTCTACAACTTGCAGATAAAAGCCAACAAGAAGGAAATATAACATCGAGGCTAGAGAAAGAAGTTCCAAGA